TATCAATGGAAAATATATCCTTGGGTGAGGACTAAAAAAAAAAAAAGTTACGTGAGCAAAAACAATAGTATTCTGAGATGAGAAAAATGCTAAATACATAATTGAATCTGCTTCCTTTGTCATTCCCTATCAGATGTCTATGACATTGGTGCTTTAGTGTACAACTCTCCTCTTATACCAAACTCCACTGGAGTGAAGGTAAACTTTGAGCAAAGTATGTATTTCCTCTTAATATAGCAATTAAAAATTTTTACTTTGGTCTAAACACATGATATATTCCATCCATCTTGGGTCTTTTTTAAGTCCGAGCTTGAATCTATCATGTAAACAAATATTTTTAATGATTGGGCCACTTTTAATGATGATTATAATTTTCCTAAGTAATTTTTTTCTTTCCTTACAATTTTATGTAGCATACCAAATTCATTTTCCTCAAAAAGAGCCTTTATTATCTTAACTGGAGGCCCAGTGCACGAAATTTGGGCACTCGGCAGGGAGGGCGGTCCCTCAGCCTGGCCTGCACCCTCTCGTAGTCTGGGAGCCCTTGGGGGATGTCCAATTGATGGCTCAGGCTGGCTCACTGACCACCAGGGAGCAGCTCCTTCATTGAGTGTCTGCACCCTGGTGGTCAGTACATATCACAGCGACCAGGCGTTTCATCGTTCGGTTGATTTGCATATTAGCCTTTTATCATATAGGATATTCTATGTTGCCTTGTCCCATTTCTCTTCAGATTGTCTTTACTTTCTGCCTCATGTCATCACACATCATTGAGCCTCCTTGTCCGTGTAGCAACCAATAAATTACATCATTAGCTGTGTTTATATGGACTATCAAACTCACAGAATATATTACATCTCAGAAATTATATTAGGCAGTGATAATAATTACCACACAGCCCATTTATCCTCTGAACAGTTTTCAGTAGTTGACAGTTCTTTTATAATTATTTTTAACTGCAAGATTTTATAGGAATGATTTAACCCAATGCATTTTAAATTTGCTAAATGCACTTCTCAGTTCTTAGTACTTTTAGCATGATTTTAATTCATTTTAAGTTTAAATAGCCAACTATTCTGATTGCAATAGTAAAGTCCAGTTTGCCAATTTTAAACACAGTTCAGCAAATATTACTTTATCATCTGAAAGGAGTCTGGGCTCTGTGCTATGTTTTAGGGGTATAACAATAAATATAAAACAATTACTTCCTTTAAGGATTCTTCTGTATTTTTTTTCAGAATAAGCATGATTATTTTGTCCATTGTATAGTCAATAAACGCAACAGAAAATGTATCATGGTACTGTATTTTAATACATCTGTTATAATTGAGATTATCAAGGGCACCTGTGTTTTGTTGTTGATGTTGTTTTATTTTATTATTTCCTTTGCCTTCTTCCTTGGCCTTCTAAAATTGTGTGTTTTGTTTTTGTTTTATATAAACCTTTAAACCAATTACTGGTATATAATATATATTTATAGCCTAGGGTTGAGCAATCTGTTGCCCTTAAAATATGTGAAATTTGAGCACGTCTTGTAAATAGCCAGCCATCTCCCCCTCATGGAATGGGAAGTATGAAGGCATAAAAACGTGAATAAAGGCTAAATTGGTGGAACAAATGTACATCTGTGGACCATATATAGATGGGTACTGTGAAGTTTATTGTGAGGCAAGAAGGAGGGAAAGATAAAGTAGGAGGCAAAAAGAAAAGATGGTGCATGCATTTTTGGTCGTGCTTAGTGTGTCTAATATGTTATAGAGAAATCCAATGGAAGATATATAAGTGTATAAACTCAGAAAAGTTACAGATTGGGATGTGGCTATTGTGTCATCAGCCCCCAGTTACTAGATAAAACCATGACAGTAAATATGATGCCTGAGGAAGGGCAAAGGAAAATGAGTCAGGGTCACAATTTGCTCCACAGGCATTTAAAGGCCTAGATTGGACCTGGAGCCCAGAGAAAAGAAGGAAGGTTAAGAGACAGCAGAATAGCAGGAATATGATGCCAAACACCTAAGGGCCTTAAGGGTTACAAAAAGGAAGACATTTTTGGCATATCAGATGCAGTAGCAAAGTTTAGAATGGAAATGGTTGATATGTCTTTTTTAAATGGTAGTTAGAAACTACCATTTAAAAGTCAAATAATTGAGCAAGTTATCTTCTGATGAAGGATTGGGAATTGAAAAGAGCTGAACATTTGATGAGGAATTCTGAAACATTAAACTATTAATAACATTTCTTCATGCACAAAAGTGTGCGTTCTTTGTCAGTTAAATCAGCTGAGTTTTGTTGTTGATGTTGTTTTATTTCCTTATTATTTCCTCTGCCTTCTTCCTGGGCCTTCTAAAATTGTGTGTGTTTTGTTTTTCTTTTATATAATCCTTTAAACCAATATATATATATATATATATATATATATATATATATATATATATATATATATGAGACACCTGTTGCACGAATATTCACACAATAGGCTTTCTTTCCTCTGGCTGCTGGCACAGTTTTTCTTCCGCACCCAGGAACCAGGCCTTTG